TTTTTTAGTAGAGATGGGGTTTCACCATGTTGGCCAGGATGGTCTTGACCTCTTGACCTCCCAAAGTACTGGGATTACAGGCATGAGCCACTGTGCTCAGCCACCATGCTATTTTTATAGTCTGGTTTCCTCGTTCTATGTGTGTCACTGAAGTCTCTGTTCCTTAGTTTGCATTCAGCTAATGTTTTTACAGAGATTTCTTTGAATCCCTGGTGCTAAAGACAACAAATAAACACTTCTCCCAGTCTTTGCACATTGACTCTGTGCTGGGGTACTCTTTAACATTTAGCCAGGCTGTTTACAACCTTGCTTTAGCCATCATGTCCTGATTGCACTGAACCTTGAGAATAGCTGGAGGTGAAAGCTTATGGTCTTCTTAGGGCTTGTGAGTATACATTCTGCCTTGGATATGTGTCCGGATTTCTAAATTTCTCAGTATATGTGGGGGTTTTTGAAAGCCCAAATTTCCCAAAGATACCTTCTCCAGGTTTTCTTCTCAGGCCTTAAGTGGTATACTATATGTCTCAACCATAATCCTCTGCTGCAGACAACTGCAGATATTTTGTTCTCCTTACAGTGTTTTAAAGCAAGGATTATTTTTTTTCTATCCTAAATGAGTTCTGAGTTAGGTGAAACAGAGACAAGCATATTGCATCAGTCCTTCAGGTATTTCCCACATAGTTGGAACAGATAAACAATTCCTTGTAAGTAAAGTCTGCTCTGGTCCCTCTAGAATCAAGGACCAGGGACCCACACTTGGAACGCCGGGCTGCTGTCTCAAGGCTGTCACCAAGCCAAGGAGGGTTGGGTTAAAGGCAAGTAGAAGTGCCACAGAGCTTTCCTACCATTTTGAAGTTGCCTTTTTTTTTTTCTTTCTGATTGGGTGTCTATTTGATTGCGGTCAGCCTTTGACCTATTCAGAATTCTGACGAAGTTTATTCTGATAGTTTCTGCTTGTTTTTTGATGTCTCTGAGGGACCTGAGCTTGGTGCCGCCTACTTCTCCATTATGCTGACATAATTCCACTTCATTAATTTTGTACTCTTACATGTTTTTTTCTTATTATGTAAACTTTTTGCTTTAGAAGAGTTTTAGATTTATGGAAAAGTTGTGAAGACAGTACAAACGGTTTCCATATACATCCCATAAACACAGTTTCCCCTATCATTAACATATTAATGTAGTACATTTGTCACAATTAATGAAACAATATTGATATATTATTAAGTAATGACCACTTTATTGGGATTTTCTTAATTTTTCCCTAATGTAATTTTTCTGTTCCAGGATGCCTACATTCTACTTAGTCATCATGTCTCCTTAGACTCTTCTTGGCTGTGACAGTTTCTCAGACTTTCCTTGTTTTTGATAACCTTGACAATTTTGAGGGGTTCAAGTCAGGTGTTTTGTAGAATGTCCCTCAGTTGATATTTGTCTACTGTCTTCCTCATGATTAGACTGAGGTTAGGGTTTCTTAGAGGAAGACCACAGAGGTAGTGTCATTCAGTCATGTCATATCAAAGGAAAATGCTATGAGCATGATTTATCACTGTTGATGTATCACTGTTGATTACCTGGTGGAGGTAGTGTGGTCATGTTTCTCCACTGTAAATTTACTCCTTTGTCCTCTGTTTTCAGCTGTACTCTTTGGAATGAACTGGAGAATTAACGCTACACCTCCTTGATGGGAGAGGATCCATATAAATTATTAGGAATTCTGTGCAGGAGATTTGTCTGTTCTCTTGTGTTTATTTAATCATTTATTTATATTAGTATGAACTCATTGCTAGTTATCTTATACTTTGGTTATAATCCAACACTACCTTGTTCATTTTGTTGCTCCAACTGCTTCAGCTTGGCCATGAGGCTGTGTTTTCAGTTGGTTCCTGTGTCCCTTTGACATAGCCCATTATCGTGTTTTCGTTTGAGTACTTTCTCATTTTCTGGTACCAGAAGTGATTTCAGGCTCATTATATACGTGGTCTGCCCCAGCCCTAGAAGCAGCTGGTTTTCAAAGGAGCACTGGTTTTCTTTCTTTCTTTTTTCTTTTTTTGGAGACGGAGTCTCACTCTGTTGTCCAGGCTGGAGTGCAGTGGCATGATCTCAGCTCACTGCAACCTCTGCCTTCCGGTTTGGGCAATTCTTCTTCCTCAGCCTCCCGAGTAGCTGGGATTACTGGTGTGTGCCACTATACCTGACGAATTTAGATTGTTTAGCTTTGTAAGAAATTGCCAAACTGTCTTCCACAGGTGCTGTATCATTTTGCATTCCCACCAATTGTGAATCAAAATTCCTGTTATTCTGCATCTGAACCTGAAATTGATATTGTCATTGTTTTGGATTTAATCATTTTAATAAATGTTATGGTATCTCATTTTTGTTTCTGTAATGACACATGATGGTGAGCATTTGTTCGTATGTGTATTTGCTATTGGTCTGTCTTTGGTGACGTGTCTATTCAGATCTTTTGCTTGTTTTTCAAGTTGCATAATTTGTGTTCTTATTATTGAGTTTTGAGGGTTCTTTTGCATATTTTGCTTCTAACACCGTTTTAGATAAGTGTTTGCAAATAGTTTTTCTCAGTCTGTGGTCTGTTTTTTTCATTTTTGTAGAAGCATCTTTTGCAGAGCTAAACATGAATTTGATGCTATAAATTTCTCTCTGTGAACTACTGTCTCTGCATCCCATAAATTTTGATAAGGAGTATTTTCTTTTCTTTTTTTTTTTTTTTGAGACAGAGTCTCGCTCTGTGGCCCAGGCTGGAGTGCAGTGGCCGGATCTCAGCTCACTGCAAGCTCCGCCTCCTGGGTTCACGCCATTCTCCTGCCTCAGCCTCCCGAGTAGCTGGGGACTACAGGCGCCCACCACCTTGCCCGGCTAGTTTTTTGTATTTTTTAGTAGAGATGGGGTTTCACCGTGTCAGCCAGGATGGTCTCGATCTCCTGACCTCGTGATCCGCCCGTCTCGGCCTCCCAAAGTGCTGGGATTACAGGCTTGAGCCACCGCGCCCAGCCGATAAGGAGTATTTTCATTTAAAACATTAAAAAATTTCTTTTGAGACTTTCTCTTTGATCTATAGGTTGTATGTTGTTTAGCTTTTAGGTATTTGGAGGATTTTTCAACCGTCTCTTGCTTATTGGTTTTATTTAATTCCATTGTAGTCTGAGAACATGTTTTTTGTATGATAGCTATTGCGTTAAGTTCATTAAGGTATGTTTTATGGCCCAAAATACGTTCTATGTTGAACATGAACAGAATGATAGAATGTATATTTTATTGTTTGGGATGAAGTATTCTATAAATGTCACTTAGATCAAGTTGGTTGATAGTGCTATTTTGGGTCATTTATGTACTTACTGATTTTCTGCCTGTTGATCCATCAGTACTTACAGGGGTGTTAAACCTCCAATTGTGGTGTATATTTCCAAGTTTTTGCCTTATGTATTTTGATAGTCTTTTGTTAAATGCATAAATATTTCAGATTATGTCTTCTTTAATATGATTTTGAACCCATGCAATGAGCTCTTAATTTCAGATATTGTGCTTTTCAGCTCTGGAATGTCCATTTTATGTATGTATGTGTGTGTGTGCATGTGTGTGTATGTGTATACATGTGTAAGAGGTGTCTGAGAGCACGCCCAGGTTATTAATGATGCCCTAGGATGACTCAGCATGTTTTGGAGCATGGCATTAGAAACCAAAATTGGGGTGCTAGGTGTGCCTGTTGTTACTGATGTATTGTTTCTTGTAGATCCATAGTCATACTTATGGCTATGATTTATTGTAGTAAAAGGATACAAAGCAAAATCAGCGAAATTCCTAGAGTTTTCTCCCAATGGGGTCTCACAGAACACGCTTAACTCCTCTAGCAATGACATGTGACAATACACGTAAAATGTATACCAAGGAAACTCACTAGACATTTGGTGCCCAGAATTTTTATTAGAGGCTGGTCACATAGGTACTGTCTGCCTATCATGTACCAAAATTCTAGACTCCCAGAAGCAATGCACATGTCGAGTATAAACCATATTACTTATACAAACAGCTCAGGCTCAGTGAGCCGTTCTTATCAGAGAAGGTTAAGGTCAGAACCTTTCTGAAATCCAAGCTCCCAAATGCCCATCAACGGTGATCTTTTGTAGCAGACCTTTCAAAGGTTAGTAGTCTCAGGCTTGCTGTGTTAACCTTTTTCTGTATAACACACATACCATGTATGTGTTGAACTTCTCCCATTTTCTCATTTATTTTGTTGATATTTTCTTCTGTTTTGTTGAACATGTTAATTCATTTTGAAGTTCTTGTTTGTTAATTCTACTATCTCAGTCACCTGTGAGTTTGCTTTTGTCTTTTTTTTATTGTCTCTGTCTTTTCACATACCTTGAAGTTTTTTACTAGATGCCAAATATTGTGTTTAAAAACAGTAACATTGGAAACATTGGTGGAAGCTCCAGAAGATGATCTTGTTGAGCGGAGAGGATTCATCCTTTTCTCTGATGGGCATGTAGACTGCGGGGCAGTCACTTGAATCAATATGTGCTGAGCTTGGTCATATTCATTTCATATTCATTTCAGTCCTATTATTTTAATAACAAAGTTTTACTTCCTTGATGACAGTTAACTTGATAATGTAAAAGGTAATATGAAACAACGAATATTTCCTCTGTAACTTCAATCTCCTTGGTACACACTGCTAGTTCCTGCAGTGTGCAACTTAATAAATGTTATTCTGTGTATCTCCTTATCAGGTCATAAGCACTCTGGGAACAGGGACCATGTTTGTCTGTTTTCACCAGTAGGATTTGCAGCACCTAGCACAATTCCAGACCCTTAATAAAAACTCAATTTATACAAGATATTTTGTTTTCTATATAGTATAGCACAGAGGGAGGTAAACTATCTGTCATTTTTTAGTAAACTCTAAAGATATTAGTTCTCTTAAATCTTTTCTATATCATCTAGTTCTGACCATTTCATGTAAAAAGACTATACTATTACAGGAACAAGTGTCATTCAAGGATGTATGTGTGGACTTCACTCAGGAAGAGTGGTATCTGCTGGACCCTGCTCAGAAGATACTATACAGAGATGTGATCCTGGAAAATTATAGCAATCTTGTCTCAGTAGGTAAGGAGTTTTTTTCCCCACATGACTATCAATAGCATGCATTTACTAGTTGATGAAATGTGAATGCCCTGTAGTTTTCTAAATTAAAGCTTGAGATTGAAGTCTCTGAGATGACTGATCTCATTTGGCCACCATAAAGGTGCTCTTCCTTCCTCAGGGATTGGTTCATTTGTGCACCTTCTTTGAATAGCTGGTGAAGCCGTGCCTTTCTTCCCCATCATGTATTCAGAGCCCCTGAAACAAAGCTATTTAGCTCCAGTCCTGTGTTATTTTATCTTAACAGGGTATTGCATTACTAAACCAGAAGTGGTCTTTAAGATCGAGCAAGGAGAAGAGCCCTGGATATTAGAGAAAGGATTCCCAAGCCAGTGCCACCCAGGTGAGTTAGTGATTTCAAGGCAGATGAAAGCCAGAGGAAATTAGAACTTAGGTAATTGGTTTAGAATTTGTCACCTTTAGAATATTTTTTAGAAATGTCTATTTTTAGCTCCAGACCTTTGGAAATGATCAAAAACAATTGGCCCACATCCCTGTTACCTTAATCACTCCTCCATATGTTATTCTCACTCATAAATGCTTTTCTTGGCTGGGTGCAGTGGCTCATGTCTGTAATCCCAGCACTTTGGGAGGCTGAGGCGGGTGGATCATGAGGTCAAGAGATCGAGACCATTCTGGCCAACATGGTGGAACCCCGTCTCTACTAAAAATACGAAAAATGAACTGGATGTGGTGATACGCTCCTGTAGTCCCAGCTACTCGGGAGGCTGAGACAGGAGAATCGTGAACCTGGGGGGTGGAGGTTGCAGTGAGCTGAGATTGCGCCACCGTACTCCAGCCTGGTGACAGAGTGAGACTGTCTCAAAACAAACAAACAAACAAAAAACAAACAAAAAAAAAAACCACAACAAAAAACTTTCTTTTATTTTTTTGACATTTTGAAGTATTTTACTTATACCTATAATCCAAACCAGTTGGCTTCATTTTAGATATGTTTTCTTGGTTAGTTTGTCTTTATCTTTTAAAATTGTTTGCCTTCCTTCTGTTGTCTTGGACACCTTTTGTTAGCTGACAGGTATTCATGCAATCCTTCCATATTTTCATTTAACAACATATGATGAGCACTTACTATGTCTGTTATGTTTTAGGTAATTAACAGAATAATGTCCCTGGTATCCTAGTGTGTATTACAATAAAGGACAAAAAAATGCGTGTGTGTGCACATGTCTGTGTGTGTGTGTATATGTACACACCCATGTGCATATGTGTGTGTATATAGGTGCACACACACTGTTAGGTCATGGTCAGTGCTGTGAAGAGAATTCACACGGGAAAGGAGGATGAATAATGACGGTATAGTCTTGTTTGGCAAGTAGGTTAGAGAAAACCTTTTTGAGGAGTTCCCACATTAGAGATGAGGCTTTAATAATATGAAAGTGTGAGTTATGTGGATTCAGAGTAGTCCAGGCAGAGAGAACATAAGATACCAAACCTCTTAGACAGATGTGTTCTTAGAATGTTTGAACACTGTGAGGGAAACCACTGTGGTTGGAAGCTAGTGGGCATGGTGGAGACTGGTGGGAGATAATGTCATGAGAAGTAACATGAACTATGGTAGATACATTAATTTTACTTTTGGTGCTATGAGAAACTGTTTTGAGTAAATGTAAATCAGCTTAAGTTGTCAGATTTGATTTACAGTTTAAAAGGATCTCTCTGACATCTGTGCAGTGTATATACTGTGGTGGGTGGTTATGGGTGGCATGAGTAGGGATAGGGTACCATATGTGCTTCAGAGGTGAGAGGATAGTGGCTGAGACTGTGTTGGAGGTGCCAGAGGTACTGAGAAGTGGTAGGTTTGTACAAATATCTTGAAGATGGAGCCAAGAGCATTTGCTGTCAGATTGTATATGAGAGAAAGGGGAATCAAGTGTGACCCCGATAATTTGTCTCAAGCAGCTAGATAAATTAGGTTATCATTTACTGAGACAGAGAAAAATTAGAGAGGAGACGTATAAGGGAGTTATCACGGATTTAATTTTGAACACCAGAAGTTGGAGATAACTGTTAGAATCAAGGCTGTTTTTGACTAGGAGATTGGATATGTGTAAGTACATGGTTGAGGCCAGAACTAGAAGTATCCATTTGAAAGGCATCAACTTTAGATGATGTTAAAGGAATGAGGCAGAATGAGATCTTCAAGACCAGAAGTCAACAGACTTTTTTGTAAATGACCAGATAGTAAATGTTTGAGGCTTAGCAGGCCACATATGGTTGTGGTTACCGCTGCTCCTCCTCATCTTCTTTCTTTTCCTTATTCCTTCTCTTTCTCCTCTTGCTCTTTCTCTCTCCTCTCTTTTCCTCTTCCCTTTTCTCTACTGTCTCATCCAGCTTTTTCCCTTTAAAAACTTAAAAAACATTCTTAGCTCAAGGGCCATTGTCTTGTAGTTATATGCCAACCCCTTTTCTAGAGTGTGATTGTATGTAGGTGAGAGTAGTCCTGGGACAAAAATGCTTTTGGTAAGTATTAAATTCATCCCATAGAGGATATTGAAGAATAACAATCTGAGCTACACAAAAACCAGAGAGCCTGGTTTCCTGTAGTCAAATAAGGTACATTCTTCCACGTTACTGCTATCTTGAATGGCAACCATGGCATTGCTGTGCTAATAAACCTGTTAATATCTCCTACCGGTCTCTTTGTTCCTATTGTTATTTTTCATTTAAAACTATCTTCTACATACCTTTATATTCTCACTTTTCATTGATATAACTCAAAAGCAAAACTATGTCTGTATTCTCTCATTCCTGACTCAGTCTAATTATTAGTTGTCTAATTTCTAATTCCTAGTTGGTTCTTTTCTCTTTTTTTTAGCCTAAATTATTCAATTTATCTTCCTTTAGCTTAAAAAACGAACCTAAAGTTGCTGCTTATTAATAAATTAAATTTCCTTTTCTTTTCTTTTTTAAATTTTAAACACTTGTGTCAAGGGCTGACTTTCAATAGATCACAGCAAGGGAGCTGCTCAGTAAATTTCCCTTTCAATGACTATGATAGTGTAGTCGTTTGCTACCTGTCTTAAATTTGTTTGTTTCTGCTCCCTAAAATTTATGTCAAATCCCATCCTATTCTATGTCTTAAATTTTATTTGCAAATGCTTTCTCATTTATTGAAAAACTTCCATTCTTGTTTGCCTAGCCTTTTTTCAGGTAATTCATACTGTGTGTGTAAAGTGTTTAGACATTGATTAGTAATGGCTTGTTATTATTTAACTTGTTTTAAGTTAGAACTTAATTTTTAGCTGAAACTTAAATAGCCCAGATTTTATGACATTAACTCACCAGTGGCTGTATGCCAAAAACTCAGACCTGTTCATATGGCTTAGGGTTGCTTAGGGTTTCTTTCTGTATTGAGATTTTTGTTCTCCAAAAGAGAAGGGCCTCTCTTACTAATTTGGATATGTTGATAATTACTTTGTTGATTATCTGTGTAGCCAGATTTAGGAGAGAGCATTCATTTTCATACATTCTGAAAGTATTCTATGGTACTCTTTCTAAATACACATCCCCATATTTTGTCCTCATGTATTATAGCTGATCAGGTACAGGTTGAAAATAATTCAGTGCATGTTGCTTTATAAGAATAATGTACAGTTTGCTCAGTGGGGGCAGAGGAAACAAGACTATAGTAACACCTGCCAAGATCTGGACTCTGGTCACAATAGAGGCAATAGCATTGAGCAAGGGATTTATTTTATGTTACAATGAATTATATAGACAGTAACTTCTAAAGGATGGATCAAGTGGAGCCTTAAAATGGTAGAGATGTTATAGAGATTTTTGCTATCATTATTTTATTTTTATTAGTTTTTGTTTTTAAGTTAAAGTAGCAGTTCACTGAAGGATATCCAGGATCTAAGGAGAGATAAGGATAGAATGTTTCTAGCTGAGTGGAAGGTATGTTGTTGGGGATGAGCAATTTCTGAGAGTCTAATCTCTAGCCAAACTGCACAGAAATATTTTTAATAGATTTGCATGACGTTGAGAAGATGAGGGTGTAAACCATGCTTTACCTCTGCCAAACTTAATTCTTATGTTTCTCACTACCACTCACTCTATTTCCTTTTTAAAAAAACAACTCCCTTGAACTCATTCTCTGTGCATTTCCTGCTCTTTGAAAAAACAGCTCTCAGAATATCTCTATCTCCTATTTATCATGTCTTGAGTTTATTTCACCTTCCCTAGTATGCTTTTCCTACGGCGTTAAAAAAAATTATTTCTTCTCAATAAAACTTAAAGAAAACACTGGATCTTGGGCTATATAGGACTATTCTTTTGAACCCAAGGAAGTTGATGTTTTCAGAATGTTAATTTTCTTGTTGATTCAAAGAAAGAAGTGTGTACTCTGGTGGGAATTCTACCCCAGAAAACTGTGTGTGAGAGGATTAGGACCAAGCTCTATTTTGTCTCCACCAAACTTAATTCGTCCTCTGAAACCCCTTGTGTGCTAATCTTCACCATCTCTTTATTCAGTGTTCATTGTCTCTGTTGGGTTCACCCCATTTTCTCCGAGTTTTTCTATTTCTGAATCAGCCACTCTAGTTCTCTGTGCTGTGAATTTTATTTCACCTTTTCTTTTCAGTTTTGAAGGTTATATTTATAAAGTGTTAAATGTCATTGCCAATTTCCTCTCCCTGTTTCCACTGAAGCATGTTTATGTTTTCCACCTAAACCCTGGTGGGTAATGAAAATGTACACTTGAACTCAGTTCACACCAGTAAACTGAATTTAAAACAAAAGAATTGACTGTATGATAGGGCGTTTGTGTAAAAGTCCAATTCCATCAGAAATGTACTAAGGTTCATAAGATGTGGTTATTTTTCTCATTTCTAGAAAGGAAATGGAAAGTTGATGACATGTTAAAGAGCAACCAGGAAAATGAAGATGACCATTTTTGGGAGCTTCTATTCCACAACAAAACAGTAAGTGTAGAAAATGGAGACAAAGGAGGCAAAACTTTCAATTTGGGCACAGACCCTGTTTCTTTAAGAAATTATCCCTATAAAATATGTGACTCATGTGAAATGAGTTTGAAAAATATTTCGGGCTTAATTATTAGTAAAAAGAACTGTTCCAGAAAGAAGCCTGATGAGTTTAATGTATGTGAGAGATTGCTCCTTGATATTAGGCATGAGAAAATCCCTATTGGAGAGAAGTCTTATAAATATGATCAAAAAAGGAATGCCATTAATTATCACCAGGATCTCAGTCAGCCAAGTTTTGGCCAACCTTTTGAGTATAATAAAAATGGACAAGGCTTCCATGATGAGGCAGCATTTTTTACAAATAAGAGATCTCAGATGGGAGAGACAGTCTGTAAATATAACGAATGTGGAAGAACCTTCATTGAAAGTTTAAAGCTCAATATATCTCAAAGAACTCATTTGGAAATGGAGCCGTATGGATGCAGTATTTGTGGGAAGTCCTTCTGCATGAATTTAAGGTTCGGACATCAGAGAGCTCTTACAAAGGACAATCCTTATGAATATAATGAATATGGGGAAATCTTCTGTGACAATTCAGCTTTCATTATCCATCAGGGAGCTTACACAAGAAAGATTCTCCATGAATATAAAGTGAGTGACAAAACCTGGGAAAAGTCAACTCTCTTAAAACATCAGATAGTACACATGGGGGGAAAGTCTTATGATTATAATGAAAATGGGAGCAATTTCAGCAAGAAGTCACATCTTACCCAGCTTCGGAGAGCTCACACAGGAGAAAAAACCTTTGAATGTGGTGAATGTGGGAAAACCTTCTGGGAGAAGTCAAACCTTACTCAACATCAGAGAACACACACAGGGGAGAAGCCCTATGAATGTACTGAATGTGGGAAAGCCTTTTGCCAGAAGCCACACCTGACCAACCATCAGCGAACACATACAGGAGAAAAACCATATGAATGTAAGCAATGTGGAAAAACATTCTGCGTGAAGTCAAACCTCACTGAACATCAGAGAACACACACAGGGGAGAAACCCTATGAATGTAATGCGTGTGGGAAATCCTTCTGCCACAGATCAGCCCTCACTGTCCATCAGAGAACACACACAGGGGAGAAACCCTTTATATGTAATGAATGTGGAAAATCCTTCTGTGTGAAGTCAAACCTAATTGTACATCAAAGAACTCACACTGGGGAGAAACCCTATAAGTGTAATGAATGTGGGAAAACCTTCTGTGAAAAATCAGCTCTCACTAAACATCAGAGGACTCACACAGGGGAGAAGCCGTATGAGTGTAATGCATGTGGGAAGACCTTTAGTCAGAGGTCAGTGCTCACCAAACATCAGAGAATTCATACGAGGGTGAAAGCTCTTTCAACATCCTGAATGTTAGAAGCCTTCGTACACCTGTGAAATTGGTTATACAGTTTCAAAAGAGATTAGAGAAAGCCAAAGAATGTCAGACATTTGTAGAAAATGACTTCTTGTTTGAATATGTAAAAGCTTTCAAGAAAAATTAAAACCTTTCATTAGAAAATTTGTACTGAGGGGAATTCTGTTCACCTAAGTAATATGGTGAAAATATTTATCTAGAATTTATGCTGTTTAGTGTTGTATTCCAGATGTGATACCAAAATTGTATTGCAAATATAATGGACAATATTCATTTATACCCATATTCACAGTGGGATCTGAAGCTTGTAAAAGTTGAATGACAACAGCATTAGACATACATGTGAAGAGTCCCTGATGTTTGTAGACCTTATGTGAGTATGCTAATATAATAAATTTGAGTATGCTTGATTTGTATATTGGAATTCAACATGATTGTGATGAGAAAGTACGTACCCTTAATTGAGTAACTACTATGGTATGTGTTAATATTTTCCACACTAAATACCATTGGTGTCTTTATAGGTTGATATATATGTGTATGTACATATGTTTGTATGGATATGTAAATATATTTCTACACATATACTTAAATATAGTGATGTGCTAGTATAACCTCATACTGACTTAAAAGTTCTGCTGATTGTTAAATTTTAAGGAATTTTGTGAGCCAGTTATTAAAAACAGTCATTATTTAAAATATGTAAACTTACAGTTAAATTAAAAACAAAGGTAATAAATACTCAGCACTCATCACTTCCTAATTATTTTGCTACATTTCACTATTACCTTTGTTGTTTTACTTATTTAATCTGTGTGATGAAAATACTGTATATAGTGTGCACTGCACATCTGTCTCTTCCCAACTCGACATGCAGTGCTGTCTTGTTGGTAGCTTGGACTTAGTGGGAGTGTTTACACCATGGAAATTGACAAACTATAAATCAGGGTTTTAATTTTCTCAGATAACCTGCTGTCAAATATTTACAGCACATCACTGTGTATATATGAAAACGTATTTGGCAATACAAACTGCGTACCCCTTCTCTTTCCTGACGTAAATAAATGGCTATGGCCATTTACAGCTGAACCGCATCTTCAAGAAAGAAGCCAAAAATATTTTCGTGAGGTTTTTAACTACCTCTGAATCCGTCCTACTCTAAATACTACCAGAGTCCCTTTGTAGTTTGGCCAGTATGTGTTTTTAGTGAAATATTATTTCACAAAGAACTATATCATGTACCTTTCCTCTGACTGTTTCCTGGCATATATGCATGAATATGGCCATTATTGAACTGTCACTTGAGTAAAGAAGTTAAACAGTAGTTTTCTGAGGTTTTTCAGCTACCTCTGGGTCATTCTGTAATGTAAATGCTGTTAAGAATGGTTTTTACATAAATTATGCAAAGGTTAACAAACAGTAATACTGCACTCCTCAAATAAAAAGTGGCGGTATGTAATGAAAGGCCCTTTTCATACCCTTGTTATTTCATTATGTATCTGTTTAGGCATGGCCTATGTGACACTAGTTCTGTGTATTAGTATTTTAGAGTGTCCCTGCTTCCCTTGTCCTGTTGTTTCCTTTGCCCCCCTCTTGGAACACAGTGGTCAGCAGTTCTAATAGACACTGCCCATGTGATGGCCATTCCCTACTTCATCCTTGCTGAGCTAAATTTTTTATTTTTGTGCATTCTTCTCCCAGATGACTTAAGTGGTAAGTCCAAATTAGTCAAAGCTAATCATGGAAGTTCCATTTTAATGATTTTGTTGGGGTGAACTTGGGAGCAGTGAGATGTTTGGGAATTATTGTGTAGTCCTTCTGGGAAAGATCTCCTTGATACAACATTGTCATGACATGAGAAGAGACTTTGTCTCTTCTACTGGGCTTTTTCATGTCTGTACATGCTATTGGCTTATCGTTTGTATCTGAAGGGCAGTAGGCTGAAGATAACAGTGTACAAGGTGGGAAAAACCAGCTCAGAGGTGATGTTGCCGAGCTACTCTGCTTTCTGTACCTGCTCTCCACTGGGACTTCGTATAACCCTCAATAACTGTTTTTTATTTGGTCTTAGGGCTATCTGATACCTAAGAGCTGAAGGCATTCCAGCTGGCACAGAGGAATATTTTTCTAAGTGTTAATGTTCTATATGGTAATTGGGGGAAGAATTATTTCTTTTGACAAGTTAATATACGGATGGCTGTTTGTATCAGCCATGGTTCTTTCTGGCGGAAAACAGAATTCTCCAACTAAAAAGATTTTAATGGCAGACTGATTACAGTGGTGTGGGCCAGAAACAAGGGACACTGAAACACCCAGAGACTTGTATCAGCAGGAAGCCATTACCATTCTGAGCCTTGAAGGGCAAGGATGGAAACAGTGTTACCAGAGCCCAGTAAGAACTGCTGTCATGGAGGAGGGGCCACCTTGTAAGAGACATCATTACTACCAGAACTGTGGTGCCAAATTGCTGGTGCCTCTCTTTGGAGAAACCAACCAGATACATCTGCGGGAGAGCCCAGGTGGGCACAGAGAAGGGTGGAGAGAGAATCTGGGAAGAGAAATGGAGAATAAGCAGCACAGTGTTTTTCATTTCTGTAAATTCCTATGTAGAAGGCTCAGTGTTAGAAATAAAGTTACTCTACTAGTTGCAAGTTAAGTGTTTCTGTTTGTTCTCCTTTCCTATTGGCATAAGTAAACTCCCTTTGGAACCACGCAGGTATGTCTCTCCTTCAACATGTGTGAAGCAGACATTATATTAAATTACATTATTCATATGTCCCTGTGGTGTTTCTTATTGTATGTGGTGTAAGGTAAGCAGCTCTGTATCCTTCCAAATAAATAGCCAGTTGTCCCTGCACTGTTTGATTAATTCACCCTTTCTTGTGTTAATTTGATACATTTTTATTATGTACTTAAATATGTGTTATGAGTATTGCTTTTGACTGCTCAGTGCAACTTTTCTGCATTCTTCTAGTAATAGAACCTGTCATAGTGATCACGGGGTGGCATTTACCCCAATCCTGGCTCCACAGAGTACTATGTCTTCATGTCCTCCACATTTGTATTGATCCAGAAATAGTAGTTTGTTACAAAAGAGGCCAGTGACAAGCCATCCTAGAATATTTTTATTGGGAGGTCACTGTAGACCAGAGAGTTTGTGTCCTTATTGCTTCCAGCAGTCATGTTGACAAAGTACATTTGCTCTGTAATCTACTGAAAGTCAGTCTGCAACACAAAAATGAAAAAAAGAAAAGAAGATGGCTATGATAAGCATCATAAAGAAAAATCAAAATAGGAAAAGTCAGATACAAGGTTTGATTTTAGATAGGATGGAGAGGAAAAGACCTCACTGAGCAGGCTACATTGAGGGAGGAGTGATGTGGATAGTATCTCGAAGAATAGTGTGTTCACATGTGTGTCTCTAACACATGCAAACTTAAGATTAACACCAAAAACTTAAGATTCTGTTTTATGAGATCCTTACCCTAATTACCTGTAATGTACTTTGTTGATATTTTCTCTTATACTGCATTCTATTAAAAGAAATACTTTTTCCCATATACTAAACTGATCTCACAATCAACAGTTTATCCTCCAGTGCACTCATGTTTAAACCAGGATGAGAATTGCTGGGTCATAGATTTGTGATTTCTGAAATGACTAATCACTCCCAGTGCCTGGAAATAGTTTTCTGATAAACTCCTAAGAGCCTGTTTTTGGAACTGGGCTTACTTTCTGTCTTGAAATTGCCTTTCTCTGGTCTAGTGGGCCCTGTCACTTCACACCCTACCTGTATTTAGCAGGGAAATGTGGAACTATTGCTTCTGGTAGGGTTCAGCCCATGGGTATCCTTGATGCCTTCAACCCCTACCCCTGTTTGCTGCTGGCAGCCAGAGACTGTAGCTGTGACTGCCCTGGATCCTTTCATCATATCTGTCCTTTTCTGAGGAAGACTTACCTATTCTCCTTCCTGTTTTTCCACTGAGTCTTCATCTGTCACCCAGTGACTGGACACTGCACACTCAACCTCCTCCTTTTGTCTGAGGAACTCCAACTCCCTTTTCCCAACCTACCTCTCTTCTCAGATCTTGCATTCCCAGGCTTCTCTTTCAGACAACAAAAAACCAATGTCTTCTCTTAGACAGCAGTTATGAAGAGCAAGGTCTCAGATACTTTGGAAGGTGAGAATTGATGACTAATATGAAGCTATGCCATGTTTGGAGTCCATACTTTCGTATAGCCAATGCTGTCTGTTATTGGTTTCTTTATCTACAGAATGGGGGTAGTTATCCTCTCTACAAAAGTGGGCCTTAACCGTAAGCTTGCTTTCAGTAATAGCCAAAAATTCTCCCTTTACCAATCCCCTAAAGGAAGCTCAGGACCTCAGAAAAGAAGACAGGAGTTCAGAATTTCTTCAACTCAGACCCCTTGTAAAGGCTTACCCTATTCTTGTGGATCTCTGATAACATCCCTTAAAACAGAAAACGAACTTGGAGAAACTTGGCAGCCGTGACTGGTGCCCATGACATAGTGGGACTTCCTTAGCTTTCGCAGGCCTAGATTCCCCTGTGCTGATGTCTGCACCAGTTGCCGATATTGGGAGAATAAATATTCTTTGGAATTTGACAGATGAGTTCTCTTCAACCCACCTCACTCACATATTGGTTCACTTCCCTAAAGTAACTTGGTTTTTAGTTCTGTCTGGGCCTTTTTCTATGCACTGTAACCAATATATATGTGCCTGTAGAGAATTTATAACATACTGGAGTTTTATGGACATTTGAGTATTAAAAATCAAGAAATATGGTCAGAATATTAATCAAATGCTAGAATACATACAAAATCATAAGAGATTTGCCTTTAATTAGATCCAGGCATGACTGGAGAGTTGTAAGTTGTATTTTTAATTGCTTCTAAAGAGAAATAAATAGTAGTATCAGCTCAGCCACAGGAAATTAACCTTAGATGAATTGATACTACTATTATGTGTGGTTTTTAGTTTTCTCAGATGATTTGGTGATGTATACACATATTATTGTTACGTTATTACAGTTAAATATATTTTAAAGTTCCTATAGAAATGTTGCCTAAGTTTTCAAACTGGTAATGTTAGTGGTAGTGATGAAAAACATACCTGAACATCAATAACTTTAGAAGAGCAGTCAGATGCTATCAAAGGCTGTGAAGAACTTTAACCATGAAACAACAGGGAGTTAGTTTAGTAGGTAATGATGAGGAAATAATACTCAGAATATAGACATTAAAATCACTGACATGACTTTACCACAGAAGTCATAGGGTTATACTCTCTGAAAATGCATTTTTCCACTTATTTATATGAGAAAATGAGTGGGGAAAATAGTACTTTCTGTTATGTGTGTTAGTTTTGTCAGGGGCTTTTGGTTTGACTTCTTATATTTCAGTGTCCTTTTAGGATACACACACACACTTACACAATAGAAGTATAATGTATATGGTGAACTCATTTACAGTACATAACAGTTTTCCATCTTAGTTTTCCTACCCTTACCTCACCATTTTTAACAACTACTTAAAATTTCTCAACAATCATTTATCTACAATATTTTATCTACACCTACCAATGGCTCACTTTTAGGTAGTTTCCCATATTTTTACTCTTACAAATGAACATTATTGAGGTACACCTTTGAGCATATACCTTTCTACGCTTGTCCAAGTTTTTTCTCTCTCTCCCTTTTTTTTTCCCCCATCTGCACAGACACACAACCACCAAGTTGTCTTCAAATTAATTTCTCAGAGTCTACTCTCTGGATAATAGGGGTTCTAATGAAATTGACTCCAGGAAGTCTGTATGGATTTCATTCCCATTCAAAGTTTGGAAATGTGACAGCTGGGTGGGGTGACTAATGCTTGTAATCCCAGCACTTTGGGAGGCCAAGGTGGGAAGAATGCTTGAGCTTAGGAGTTCAACACCAGCCTGGGCAATATGGTGAAACCCTTTCTCTACAGAAAATACAAAAAATTAGCCGGGCATGGTGGTGCACTGTAATCTCAGTTACTTGGGAGGCTGCGGTGGGAGAATCACCTAAGCCTAGGAAGTTTAGGCTGCAGTGAGCTGTGATTGTGTCATTGCACTCTAGCCTAGGTGACAGAGTAAGTCCCTGTCTCAAAAACAAAAGAAAAAGTTCGGAAATGTGGGCCCACCATTGCCACAGTGGGTGCTGTTCTTTTTTTTTGTTGTTAAAAAAATTCCAACCTTACTAATATGACATGATAAAATAGTTCTTAAACATTTTAATTTCTAAATTTTCTACAGACATTGAACCATTTAAAAATATTGATTACACCTCACTTTCTTGATGTTGGCTTATATCAGTAGGCTCACTTTAACTGAGGTGCTCATCATTTTATAATAGCTAGTCATGGAAGATTATTAAGATTTTCTTGGTTTATGTGCTCTCACCAATCTAAGTACATAGTTTACCTTTTTACAGGAACAATGGAAACTTGTTTTTTTTACTTTATGAACAACATATCAACAGGATAGTCTTTCTCATTTCTGGGAGGTATACTTTAAAATTTGTCTATGGGAATATATATATTTTTTAAGTTTTCAAATTACTTCAAGCTTTTAAGTAATTTTGGCTGTGTGCAGTGGCTCACGCCTGTAATCCCAACACTTTGGGAGGCCAAGGCAGGCACATCACGAGGTCAGGAGATCGAGACCATCCTGGTATCACGGTGAAACCCCGTCTCTACTTAAAACAAAACAAAACAAAAAAATTAGCTGAGCGTGGTGGTGGGTGCCTATAGTCTCAGCTACTCGGGAGGCTGAGGCAGGAGAATGGTGTGAACCTGGGAGGTGCAACTTGCAGTGAGCCAAGATCGCGCCACTGTACTTCAGCCTGGGCAACAGAGTGAGACTTCGTCTCAAACAAAACAAAACAAAACAAAAAAAACTTTTAAGTAATTTTTTCCCCCTGCAATTGGTATGCAATTTTAACATTAAGATTAGAAATTCTCATTATAATTTTTAAACGCTTTGGTAGTTTAAATTTTATATTCCATGTGAAGTATATTTATTATGTGAGGTAAACATTTACACATACCATGTGATCTACAGAGAGAACCACTTACCCCAACACCATTTATTAAATAGGCCTATTTCTCTCTACTTTGAAATGTCATAGTGATGGTTAATTTTATATGTCAACTTGACTGGGTTGTGGAGTGCCCAGATGCTTGGTCTGACATTCTTCTGGGTATATCTGTGAGGGGGTATTGGATGACATTAACATTTAAATCAGTAGACTAAGTAAAGCAGATGAACGTGGGTGGGACTCATCCAATTGATTGAAGGCCTGAATAGAACAAAAGTGCCAACACCCCTGAGTAAGAATTCCTACCAGTGACCTTCAAACTGGACATCAGCTTTTTCCTGCCTTTAGACTCAATTGAAACATTAGCTTTTCCTGGGTCTTGAGCCTTCAGATTGGAACAATACTCCCAGTCCTCCTGGGCCTCGAGTTTGCTAACTCAACCTGCAGATCTTGGGACTTGCTAGCCTCCATAATCATGTGAGCCAATTCCTTATCATAAAGCTCTGTCTATATGTACATCTTATTGGTTCCATTTTTCTGGAAAACTGACATAGCCACCATTATCACATACTGAATTCTTACATGATCTTAGGCCTTTACATATATTTTTTTTCAGACTCTGAAATACT